CCATCATCCAAATTACAAAGTTTAAGCGAGTTATGCAGAACTAACCCCTCAAGTTTGGTCAACTTCCAAAACTAACCCAAACTTTAATATATATACACACACACATATATATCTGACGGGTATTATAAAACACATGTAAATTTGGGCCCTAAAATTTCGAGGGCCCTATTCAAAATCTCACATTTAAGATGGTAAAGAATGCCCTGTAGATGTGAAATATATTTTCAAGCATTGAATGCCAAATACTACAATATTGAATTGGGAAAATTACACCAAAATGGAACCAACTTTCACCTGATTCTTATTTTGGGGAACCACCTTTCAAAATCGTCATTTTAGGGAACCAACTTGCACCTGATTTCTATTTTGGGGAACCAACTTGCACCTGATTTCTATTTTGGGGAACCAACTTGCAAAATAATTATAAAAAAATAATTAAAATTCGTTTTTTTTTCAAAAATTAATGCAATAAAATCTATTTTTTTATTTCAAATATTGTTTTTCTAAATTCAGATATCAAATTGAAGATTTTTTCAAAAAAAATCCAAATTACCACAATAAAAATTATTTTTTACTAATGCAATAAAAATCAATTTAATAGAAAAAATTAATTGATACAATAAAAAATAAATATTAAATAACATATTCAAGATTTTTATATCTAATCAATCCGTATCAATATTAAAATTTAAATCAAATTTGGTAAATCAAACCAAAGGTTTGATAGAGACCCTTAAATTACATGTTACCTGTTCAACAGATTAACCAGACCCTTAAATAAATAAAATGTTTGATATAGACCCTAAATTATAATTTTAAAAATTGATTCCCCAAAATAAAAATCAGATGAAAGTTGGTTTCATTTTGATGCAATTTTCCCAATTGAATTTCTTCAATAATGTGTCAAATTTTAGGAATTGGATTTACTTCTTTTGATGCCAAAAAATAAAAGCCAACACTTTGCAAAAGGCGCATACACAAAGGTCGCATCACTTTCGGAAGACCTCACTAGTGGAAAAATATTTGGATTTTATTCGACTCTAAAAAGACCTCAAAAATGGAAAATGGAGGAATATGACACACATGGGCTGCCATTTTTACAGGGGATATGAAATCCCAATCAGAGATTTTAGGGTTTGAATGATCAGTGATTTAGAGAACCGCCATTTGGTTTCTTATAAAATCGTAATTTGGTCTAAGATTTTGGGAATCAATGAGGGTTGAGGGTTTACTCTGTTTCATAGGGTTTCCTCTGTTCTTGATGAACTTCAATTTTGTGTTCATTCTTGAAGTTGTGATTTCGAGATTACGTGGTCTTTTTTGCGGGTAATGATGTTTTATTAAAGTGGGTCCATCACCAATACTCCTGTTTATTTTTGAAGCAAGCATGGAATCATTTGGTTCAAGGAGCAGGTGCTGTAAGAGGTGTTCTTCACATGTTTTGTAATTGTGCACGCATGCTGTTTGATGATATTACTCACTGACCTCCTTTGAAAATGGGAGTCTTAGCAACAATCTAAGTTTCAAAAAGATCGCGTTTTTCTGTTTATAATTGAAATTTTATTTTTTATGCATTTATCAACTTATAGTCAAATGCCCACATCCAAATTGAACCGAATTTTGTTCTATTAATTGACAGTGAGCAAAAGATATATGAAGATTTGAACACAGTTTTCACAGCTCCTGAGCATCTGAAAATGGTGGGATTTCTTGATTTGTTAGTATTACAATCCATGTGAGTCTAGATTTTACCATTAACTTGTTCAATAGTCAATGGAACAGGTAAGGAATCGCGAAGAACGAAGCCAATTTGAAAGCACTCAAGATTCACTAAAGAAAGAGGTATAAAAATCAGATTTTTATCAGAACTATTTCATGTTCAATCATCATCCACTCGAAATCTTTTTGCAGATTCTACAACTTCAAAGGGAACTCAAGGATCAGTTCATAACACGCAGAGAATTGGAGAAAACAACGGTTAATCGACCTCTTTTACATGATCCCATCGATAATGATTCACTTCCAAAGGTAAAACTCACAATGCCCATATGTTAATCAAGATTCTCGTTGTTTTAAGGTCGTTTTTTGCCTGCTTATCAGCCTGCTCACGATCTGATCAAAGAGATATCGATACTAGAATTTGAAGTTAAGCATTTGGAGACGTATCTTCTGTCACTGTATCGTAAAGCTTTCCAAGAATATGCAAATCCAGTCTCAAGGGAACCAAATGAAGAATCTTATGTTCATAGAAGCCACTCTTCGCTTTCTTTAAGAACAGATCCTCTCGAAAAAATTGTTCATGAAGCTCTGGATTCATACCATTCATTGCCATTAGCAATGCTAGAGGTAACTTAGCAAATAATTGATCTTTATAGCTCAGGTCTCTGATTCAAAGATCAAATCTTGAGGGGCATGTTCAAATGTGAACCGTAAATATCTTGAGAACTGGGAACCAATTTTTAGATAGTTATTCACAATGAATAACCCTGAATAATCATGAATATCATGTATTTTCATTATTCATGATATCATGCATTTTCATTGTAAAATCTTTCACGGCATTCATGAATAGTTTTCATTATTCAAGGTTATTCATAATGAATAATACATGAAATAGTTAGTTCTCCGGTTCTCAAAATATTTAAGGTTCTCATTTGAATCTACCCCTACAACTTGAATTCTGGTATCAATTTGTTGTTGTTTACCAATTACCAGCGTGCTACGGATGAATCCAAGCATCATGATACCGGTATGTCTGCCAATCGGCTTTCTGAGGAGATGGTTAAGTGCATCTCCGCTATATACTGTCAAATTGCCGATCCACCCTTATTCAACCATGGCTGCCTTCCGTCACCTAGTGATTCTTCACCACGAGACCAGTTTGTGATGTGGAGCCCACAATGCGAAGGCGAAACAACATGGGTACATGATCATTCTGAAGCGTCAATGGAGTTTAGTGAATCTTGCTTCGATGTGGTTGAGGTGCACGGTATTTGCAAGGATTCTAAGAGACCGAGTAATGTTGAACATAAAGAAAGGATCTTTCGGTGAGTATCAGACACCCTTTGAGTTTCTAAATGGAACCCATCTCTGTTTCGTGCCTAATCTTGCAAAAAACGCAATCTTTTTACAGGTCTCTTGTTTCTCAGTTGGAACAGGTTGATCCTAGAAACTTGAAGCCCGAGGAAAAACTCGCTTTCTGGATCAATGTTCATAATGCGCTCGTGATGCATGTAAAAATCTCGAAATTCATTGAAATTTCTGCTTGGATTGTTATGTGATTTGAGAAACTTGATTCATTTTAACGCTCATTTTATAGGCATTCTTGGTTTATGGAACTCCACACGGTGCCTTGAAGCGCATCTCTTTAGTCATGAAGGTAAACCTAGATATCCCCCTAGAAACTGGTCAAACGTAATCTTGCGAGAACGGACTCAACTGGCAAATAGAGGCTAGACCTTGGGGTTCCTCCCATAAGGTAGTCAGTTCGAGTCTCCTCAGAGCCACTAGGGATTTTCCTGGCTGTTATTTTCAGGGCCACTGGGGATTTTTCTGGCTGTTTTAGGGCCACTGGAACAATTATCCCAAAAAAACTAGTTGAATGCGCGATAATCTGCAACTTATTTATACATGTTTCAGGCTTCTTATAACATAGGCGGTCATATCATCAGTGTCGGTGATATCCAAAGACCGATACTGGGTTGCAGGCTGCCTCGGCCAGGACAAGTAAGTTTAGTCAATCATCGGAGATCTTTGTGTTTGTATGGTTCTCAATGAAGCTAACTTACACTTTTTCGCTTGTAGTGGCTTCAATCTTTGCTATTTCCGAAACAAACGTCCAAATCCAAAGATGCACTAAAAGACTACGCCATCGATCATCCGCAGCCTCTCTTATACTTTGCACTTTCGTCTGGAAACCATTCCGATCCCATGGTACACGAGATTGATTCGTTGAATTCTTGATCAATCATCGGTATCTTGTTTCTTCATTTTCCTAATAAAGTATTCAACGAGACTTTAAATTTATAACACCAAAAATTGTTTGTACCATCCAAAGACGTTACAATAAGTTGTTATGACAAAGTTAAACGACCTAACAAGCTCTATTGACAAAGTTGGACAACTTAACAGGGTACAAAGTAAATCGTCTTATTAACCATGACACTTTCGAAAAATATCATATATATGACACTTTTCAAAAGCGTCATACAAAAAAGACTAACAAGACAATTTACTTTTATCTCGTTGTCCAAACTTCATTTATAGAACTTGTTCGGACGCCTAATTTTGTCATAACAACTTATTATAACGTCTTTAGGAGACGATTTTTGGTCCTCTAAAATTAGAGTCCCGTTAAGTACCCTGTTAGGACTAATGCACGTTCTAAAAACCCCATTTGGTTGTAGTACTGGTATCTTTTTTTCCTTCATGTTTACGTTATTTTAGGTGCGAATCTACACGCCGAAGAGCGTTTTTCAGGAGCTTGAAGTGGCGAAAGAAGAGTACATCCATACGAACTTTAGAATACCGAAAGGGAAAAGACTATTTCTCCCAAAACTTGTGGAATTGTATGCGAAAGATTCGAGTTTGTGCACAAACGGGTTGATGGACATGATCGAACATTCTGTCCCTGAGTTTTACATGAGGAGCTTCAAATTGATTCGAACAGGGAAATCTTCGAAGAAAATCGAGTGGGTCCCACATAACTTCGGTTTTCGCTATCTAATTCCCTCGGAACTTCGTGTAAACGTTTGAGATTGTTTCGTGGGTTTGGAGATGCATCTTTTGGTTCGAATGATTTCTAAGTTGGTTTAGGTTTCTCTTGCATACGTAAATTTTGATAGCAAGAGATCGAACATGAATTGCATAACGTGAATGTGTCCATTGCAAGCACTTTTTAAACGATTGAAATTTTCTACGTATATTATGTTGGTGATTTGTATCACTAATACCATTCAAGTGTAATGGGATTAATTTGTTTACCAATATAATCATGATAAATATCGAACAAGTAAGGAAGGTGCGGAGTGCACATTTGTTTGAGTTTATTTTGATTCAGGGGCGAAGCCTTTAAACGACGGGGGTTCGGGGGTAGCGCCCCCGGTGGCGGGTCCAAGGGGCAGATCCCCTGGCTGGGGTCGAAAATTGCTTTGTGAAAAAATGCTTCAAAAATCTGAATTTGAAATTTCAAACCCGGTTTTTTAAACCCGGTTTAGTGTTCAAAAACTACCTTTTTTGACAGTTTTCGAATTCAATTTCGAATTGGTCATTTTGATTTGGAAAAGGTACACAGATTCATAACATTTTTCGATTCTCTGTTTGAAAACACTGAATTTTATTCTATTGAAATTTCGATTGTACCATCAAAATACTTCAATCTGAAAGTGTTACACAACTTTCAGTGGAATCCAAACAATCGAAAACCATAATTTCTAACATATTGACTTATTCTGATGTGGCACCGGTAATAAACACTTTTGAGTGTTTGGATAAACAACTTATTACGGTGTCAAACCGGTAATAAGGAGTTTTTGAAGAAGTTAAATCCTTCTGACTTGTAATAAATTAATAAGTGCTATTGTAGAAAAACATAAGTTGTTTCAAATAAGCAATCCCAAACACCCCTAAAAATCGTTTATTACCAATATCACACCGAAATATGTCGATAATTTATTTTTATAAGCAATTCAAACAGCGGAAGTGGGTCGTCTATCGCTGTTCAGAAATCATCTGAATCACTTGTATCCTTAAAAGCCCTAATTTTGGCGCTCTTTGTACAAAAACCCTATCAACCACAACGCCAGATAAATGGATGAAGAAGGTATCGTTTTGGTGCTTGCTCGAGCGTCGGAGCTTCGGTCCAAGATCACCAATTGCATTCACAATGCATCATCCATTACTACTAATGATCATGCCACAAATCAGGAGGAAGGAGCAGATGATAAAGAAGAAGCGGAAGAAGAAACCGAGAGCCTTTTGAACATTCGCGATTCCCTCGAGGCTCTCGAGGCTCAACTTTCTTCTCTGCAGGTGTGTGTTAATTCAATTGAATTTGAACCGGATTTCATTTAAACCCTAAAATTTTCTATTTGTGACGTCAAACCATGTAACTTTTCACTGTAAAAGTGTACGGATTTTGTTGCAAATTTAAGTGTTGTTTCAAACTCCCTGCCACTTACCATATATCCGTAATCTGTACTTGTTTCAGGCATTACAACAGCAGCAATGGTATGAAAAGGAAGCATCCCTTGCCGAGATTGATTGTAGTCGCAAAAAGTTGTTACAGAAGCTAAAGGCGTACAAAGGTGAGGATTTGGATGTCATACATGAAGCTACCGCTTTTGCTAGCTCAACAGTAGAGAAGGAAAACAGCGATCTTCTTCTTCCTCCTTATCCAAGTCGCCCTTCTTCCTCCCTTGCCTCTGACAATGGTTACTTATCACATTTCTCTTTAACACCCAAAATCCCTCAAAGTGAGGGCACAATTGACCTTCCAGCAGGTGAAGCAAAGGGTACTCTCCACCAATCAGAGCGCAGAAGCTCATCAAAAGGATTGAGACAAATTATTGGTGCAGCTGCAAAGATGGCATTTACCCTTGTTGGTTTTATAGCTGTTCTGCAGTTGTCTGGTTTTGAACCCAGACTGAGTAGAAGAGGGGGCGAATCAAAGGTTTTTGGCATGTCTAGAGAACAAGGGAATGACGAAAATACAGAAATGATGGTTGAGTGTCCACCTGGCAAGGTTTTGGTTGTTGAAAATGGTGAAACTCGATGCCTTGTGAAAGAAAGAGTGGAACTTCCATTCAAATCTGTTGTTACAATACCTGACGTAAATTATGGGTATGGGTAAATTATGCCAGAAATTTTGGAAATACAACTTTTTACAGAGGATTAAGAAGCTCTGCTTATGACTCATGGAATGTTGCGAAGAAAGAGTGCTGGTGGAGGTTAGATTATTCCCAAGGTAATCTTCTCTAAAAATGCACACACACACACACACAAACATTGATCGCATGTGCAAAGTTTGTGCCACCCAAATGAACTTATGTGATGATGGGTCAATTTGCTCATTGTCGATTAGGGAGTTGGAAATTCGGAGGTTTGATATGCATAGTTCTTTTTGGATCATTTGTATGACATCTTTCGGTAACTACATGATTTAGAGAAGAGATAACATGGTCTAGTGACTTAAGTATACACTTTATTTTGACATTAAAGCACCAACAACACCAGCAATTAGAGTCGTAGGATCACCAAGAACTGCTGATATCACAAACTGTACAGCTAAACCAGCAATCTGACAGCATTTCTTCATTTTCCCTTTACGCTTTTTGTCCCTCCGATGGTAACTCTGTAGTGTTCCCTTCAAGTTAGGAATTGTGGTCTCCAGTGTCCAACTTTGCCCGTACGTACCACCACTGTAATCACCATTCTCCCCATCCCTGACCGCACCATAATATATATCGTGCCAACTCTCCACCAGCATCTCCTTTGCACACGCCACGTGCAAGTTGTACTTCTTGCATGTTGACCTATAGCTCCAGCTTCGTCCTTTCCTACCACATCTGTGGCAAGCGGACCCCACTTTCCGGCACAAGTACAACTTGACCTCACCATCATCCAACATGGTTGGGAGCTTCGCACAACACGGGTGGAGGTCAAACCCGCATGCCTTGCAGTGGTAGACGAACCCAGAGATGTCCTTCTCGCATGCATTGCAGTAACGGGGTACTGAGCCTGGTGGGATGGCAAGGAACTGGAAGGAGCACTTGGTGTAAAAAGGGTGGGAGATGGAAGGGGGCGAGAGAGCACAATGAACGTGCAAGTCGTAGTTGCATGCGGTGCACTTGTAGTTGGACCCTATCCCAGCTTCCTTGCATCCATCGCACTTGAATGGGACTCGGGTGTAGTCGTATCTGAGCCCGTGTTCAGGATGGCTGAAGTGAGAAATTTCATTGTATTTCATGGTTAAGTGCAAGTTTTTGAAAGGTAGATGGTAGGAAAATAAAGAATTAGATGGTGGGGTGATCCATTTATAAAGGTAGAACCTTAGGCTTGTGTGTTCCTTTAAAGGGATAATAACTAGCACCCTTTGTAGAGTTTGTTATTTTCTTTTTTGGAAGGGTATCCCAGACTCATCTCAGTAAAAACGACTATAAAACATCAGTTATGATAAACTCAGTGTTCAGATTTGTTGTGGACCTCGGGAATCGAACGGAGGGCGACATGTAGGAGAGAGTGAGACCCTCATCAAAAAAGGTAACTGGAAATATGATGCTTTGCAGGATGAGGTAGCTTAGCTTGTTAATATGAATTGGGAGTTGGCAAAGTGTGAAGCAAACATCATTTTCATTCTCATTTTCTTTAACTTGGAGACTTGTAGAATCAACTAAAAGCATGGCTTCATGTATACCTTCATATCAAGTCTTTAAAGTTAGGAAAGTTATGACTATACTTTTAAACATCATCACTCTCTCTTAGGGGTTGTTTGGCAATTGCTGAATGATTTGGTACATAATGATTAAGAGACTCTCATGATATAGTGCAAAATGAAATATAATTGTTTGATAATTGTGTATAATGAAATGAGGGCTCTTAATGGTTAAGGGATATCTATAATACAAAATCATTCAGAGGGTTTTAGAATCATCAAGAGGCAGACTTTTTTTTTTGCCAAACAAGATTCACCTCTTAACGATTCAGAGGTTGCTTCTTAATGGAACTATTAAGAGGTAAACAAACGACCTCTTACATGTTAAGTTTATGCCAAATGTCATTTAGAATGATGTAACATTATAGGAAGGTTAAAATAAGAAAAGCTTACTTGTTCAGTCCACAGGTAAAAATAAGATTTCCAGAAACTGATAAAGTAATATTTCTATTTATTCGTCAAAAGAAATGTCCTTTTTGAAGCAAATACGAGTAAGGGGCTGTTTGACAGTTGTTGAATAATTTAGTGCAGAATAGTTAAGAGGTCAGAATGGTTGAGAGGGTCAGAATGGTTAAGTGCTGAATGAAATAATGTTGTTTGGTAACTGTTCTCTGAATGACAATAAATTACCATTTTAACCCTCTCTAACAAAAACCCATTATTCCATTTTAACCTTCATTTTTTGCCCTCATCGATGGCTTCAATCTGTGAATCATCATCGAGAATCATCATCCGATGAATCATCGAGAATCATCTAAACCCTAAACTAAATTCTTGCCCTTGTTCAAGACCGGCGACGAGAGGGTGGGGGAGGAGCTGTGAAGACCGGCGATGTGTTACCTTCACCGTTAGGGCTCAATCGATCGATAGGGTTTGCAACTCGATTTGTTAGGGAAAGACGGTGAACAGAAGAACGAACGATCGTGGGGGATGCGATGGTGGAGGTGAAGATACAGAGATGCAGAGCAGAGATGCGTGAAGAGCGCGGCTGGAAAAGAGGGGTGGGAAGGGTAACCGGCGATGGCGATGGCGACCGGCGATGGCAACCGGCGATGGCAACCGGCGATGGCGACGTGCGTGAAGAGAGGGGTTGGGAAGAAGGGGTGGGAAGGGTAGACTTGGAAAAATAGATGTCTGAATGGTTTAGTGGTACCCTAGATGCAAAATGGTTAAGAGGGGGATTGTGACCATTAAGAGGTTGGCTCTTAATGTCACCATTAAGAGCCAAACAAACAGCCCCTAAATGATTCATATGTGAATAATTAGTAAAAGGTAGGTAGTCGAATTAACGTACATTGAATAATTTATTTTGTATGTTTTCAATTTTTTTGTCTTTTTTAATTGAATTATTTATATAATATTATTGAAATTAAAAAATAAAAACCTTAAATTGCCCCAAAATAAACAATGATTTTCTTGCCGGGATCACTCCAAACGAGTATATTATGTCCATCCCCTTCTCAATTAGAAAATTTACGGTGATCATTTGCGGGCCTTGGTCGAGCCTAACTTGTTTTTTTTGTCCAGCGAGCCTAATATTGTAAATCTAAGCTATTTTTTTTGGGCTTGATAACTTGTCATTGTCTGTCCTATAAACGGGCCGGGCTTGTCCACAGGTTAACGGGCCTAAAAAGTGTAACTTTTAATTAACACAATGTGGAACCAAAAAGTAAAAGAAAAACACAGTTGCAATTAAAACTTTAAGCAATTATTGACTCTATCCATTGTTGATCGATTAGAGCTTTTGACATAAAAGATGCTAACAAAGGTAACATAAAGTCTTTTGGGTTCTTTAAGAGGAAAAAAACCCAACACATTTGTAACTCTAAAAAATTCTTTTTCAAATTATTTTTAATGATTTTAACTTCTCATTACTAAGATTTAAAAAAATATTTCAACTTCTTTTTAAACTTTTTCTTATTAAATTTTTGCAAATTATATATTACAGAGTAAAATATTTCTTAAATAAAAATGATATATTACTTTTGAGATAATTATTTAGTTTGTAAAAAATATAATACTTTTTATTTTATTTTATTTTATTAACCGAAATACATGTTTTATAAACTTTTTTTTAAATGTTAGTAAGATAAATTATATTTTACAAGTTATTTTTTAATATTATTATATTAAAGAAAAAATTAAAAAAATTTAATTGATTTAATACATGTGTCCAGTAAAATTTTGGTAAAAGAGCATAACAATTTTTATTTTCATTTAAAAAAATATTTTTAAAAATGTTAATGAGATATTTTGTGTGTTTAATAGTTTTTTTAATATTGATATATTAAGAATAATTTAGAAATTTTCTGATCCATATAATATATATATTAAACAATAGTAAAATCAAAATTTTTTTATGGGGAAAAGGTTAATGGCCATTGTACGCATCATAGGGAGGAAGATGGGATCCACTAATTTATTTTTTCTTTTATAATTAAATTTGTAAGGATTTAATTATGATATTATATATATATATATATATATATATATATATATGTATACACTATAATATGATATTTATTAATCAATAAATTAATTTTTATTTTTATTTTTCTTAATTTATAAAAACAACATATTACATTAATTTCAAAATACATTACATTAATAAGATATTACATTAATTTTAAAATACATTACATAAACTACATTTAGTTTTAAATTATTTGGTGTTTAAGTATTTCATTTTCTAGCTTTGGTACTTTTTAACTGATGTATTTTAGTCTCGTACTTTTTATTAAATTTATTTTAATTTCGTTTCATTTTCATTTTAATTTTAATGTATTATTCCTTGTTTTTAGTAAATTTTTAAATTTGTTGGTAAAATTATATTTATAGATAATATATATATATATATATATATATATATATATATATATATGATGTGGAAATCCATTAAACTCATTAGAGTGTTATGGAGTGTGGATATAAAATGATAGAGTTGTATGGTGAGTGGAATGCTGATGTGGCAGTCCATGACACTCTGGTAGAGTGTCATGCACTGGAGATGCCCTAATGATAAATGACATGTCATCAAAATTTTACATATGGACATCCCATATGAAAAATGACATGACATGGAAACTTGGTAATTTGTATCATGTCACTTTAATTCAAATCAAAAGGTTACCCATTGCTATAATCTTGATTTTGAAAGACTAAATTTTTAGTTAAAATTTTGAATTAGAAACGTATAATAAATTCAGGTAAACATGTTTGATAATATGTACAATGTCTAAATAATAAAATATTAAAACTAAGAGTACAATGTTGTAACGGGTAGTGGTGATGCTATGATAAAATAATTTTGAAAATATAATGTTTTAATAAGAAATGCAACGTCAACGGTATAGTACATCTCGACAACTTTATGTGGATATTGAAGTCACATGGAAACCTAGTATAATAAGTAAATTTAAATTAAAAAGCTACCCAATGCTATAATAGTTAAATTTTTCAAAGTACAATGTCCTAAAAAAAACTGAGAATACAATGCTATAACAAGAAGTTTTATAAAAGTCGCTATTACGTGCATTTTGCTAAAAAAATCCATCAACCCCACCAGTTGCATCAGGGTTGATGGTTCAATAAAACAAGAAGCAAATAAAAAGGTAAAATGATTATTTTATAATTCAAACAGTTTATTCAACATAATAAATAAATAACATTTTTATATAATTTACTAATTTTATAGACTCGTACAAATTTTTGACAGACGATGATACAACTGTTTCTAATCTTGACCAAATATCGAGAAACCAGTTGGAAGACTCTTCTATCATGATTATCAAGTCATAAGAATGACGATATCATGTGGTGTTCAAAAAGGTGTGTTGATATGGTGTAAGACATATCTCCATCATTATGATGAGGTCTTTCACTGTTTCTGTAAGACGTGGCTCACAGAAATATCATCGTCTAATTGAATAACAACATATATTTATATATATAATTACACATAAATTTGTCGCCTTATGTTATGGTTTAAAGAAGGCGACATTGTCGTGACGCTAATTTGGACCTTGATGTTTATGTCGAAAATAGCATTTGAAATTGTCGGCATTGAATTCCAAAATCATTTTGTTAAGGGTAGGCATGTTTATTCAACAATGTGTTTGCAAAATCTTTAGCTCATCCATGGTTTTTTTTGTAAGGGTGTCCGGGCCAAAGCCCGACTAATCCCTGGCAATTTTGGAGGCTAAGCATGGCCCCACTTAAATGTCGCCAACACTCCCCTCCTAGGGCTCGAACTCGGGTTCATGACTATGTCATGCTCAAGCCTTTACCACTAGGCTGGAAGGTCTTTGACAACTCATCCATGGTTGATTTCCAAATTAAGGTAAGTTACAATTTTATTTTATATAAAGAGGAGCTATATACACATTTAGGAAGATTTTGGAGCTAATTTGAAACTTACATTTTAACACTTTTAGTCAGGGATGAACCCATAATTTTTTTCAAACGGTGACACCATATAATTATAAAAATATGGTTTTTATAGGATCGATGCGTCTTCATCTTTTGAAAACGATTAATATATACCCAAAAATAATTACAAAAAAATATAGTTTTTATAGAATTGCAAAACAACTCCTAAATTTGCCATCGGCGTGTCTTCATCTTTTGGAGACGATCGATGAAATCTTCATTTTTAACATTATTATGTGCTTCCTTTTCTATGACACAAATGAGGGCAAAATTCAAAGTCATCACCAATTCGATTATGTAAATCTGTCTTGACAAGCTTAATCGCCGAAAAGCAT